GGCAGGGGTGCCAACAGTAATGCTCGAGAGAATCCCTCCAAAGACTCTGGAGGCAATCGACCGTAACGGTGCATGCTAACGTATGCATGCGTCTAACGGCTAGACGCATGCACACGTTAGCTACGGATAAGGCTCTCGCGCCCGCCTTATAGGCGGACAACGACAAAAAGGTAGCTGACGATGGCCCAAAGGAGCCGATCTACATAGAGCGAGCAATCGATACAATACAGCTAACAAACTGGCGAACAAAAGCGGGCAGCTCCTCCTACCACAGACGGGTACAACACGGGACCCGTGTCACGGATACGCATGCGTGCAACTCCGCACGATAGTTGTTCGGTCGTAACCTCCGCTCGAGCAAATCCCAGACGCGTTGTTCAACACGCACACTACCATGTGTGATGCGGGATGGCCACACTATCTGCTGAGCTCGTTCAACTCGCATCCCAAGCTCGGACTCCCAGCACCCACCACTTTTGAGCAGTCAAGCACGATCGGACTTTGACTCGGCTCAGCTTTGTACTCGCGTGCAAACAAATAGCCGTTCAGTCGCCCCATCCTGTATTTGGTTTTTCATGGTGGATTGGTAGCAATGTTGGGCAGAGCTTATAGAGAGTCCACTATCCGAAAGGACGCCTACGAACCAAGATTCGGCAGCGATGCTGTGTGAACCTCTTGCATGCGCCGACACCATGCGACGCATGAGGCAAATCTTGTTTTCAATGACGCCTCAATGTCGGGTAGACCCAGCACTGCTGGGCCAGCAGTGGGAGGCATCGTCACATATGGGCTATTCTTGCCAATTGTAGCTTATAACTTGAACCATCGCTGTAACCATGCCTCCTCCTTTTCCGACTGGTCCCTCTAGGGCTACGACAGCTAAGGGAAGCCTCGTAGAGAGAGTCCCTATCGTTAGTACGATCAATATGTTATGTAAGGACTTTGGATGGAAGCTTGTCACAATGCTACACTTTACCAACCACTGGGCTAAGGGTTATAGCTACATCATGCTGTCTGTTGTTACTCCGTTCTATTTTCGTGCGATGAACGTGAGTGGTCCAGATATGGATCGATATTCTTCGGTAGTTTTCATGCCTTGGGCGATGAAGCCCTGGCTCGGCGTGGTAACCGATTCTTTTGCCATCTTTGGTTACCACAAGCTCCCTTACATGATGATCGTAAGCGTCCTCGGTCTAGCCGGTACCATCCTGGCAGTATCTCTCAACCTGGTTGAGAGCAATGCGCCGATTGCGACGGTTGGGCTTTTCATGGCGAACCTTCAGTTGATGGGGTATGACCTGCTTGCTGAGGCAACATACTCTAGCCGCTTACCAGCTGTCCCCAAATCTGGACCGGCTCTGGTGAGCTACGTTTGGGTCGGAAATCAGCTACTGGGTCTCATCGCGACGCTGCTCGTCGGGTTCATAGTTGAGAATGCCGATGGAGTGTGGGGCCTTGGTGGTGCACAGTGGGCAATTCTGACAACGATTTTCACATCT